TCACTTCCAAGTTCCGAACATTTCAGTTTAGAAAAGTCCTTTTGCTGGAACCGAGAGAACCTTTATAACAAAATGCCACAACAGAATCAGGCACCTTGTTCAGACTTTCATGGATTTTTTTTAAAAAAAGCAACTTGGTTTAGATATTTTCCATGCACCTGAATGACTGAATCTCTCTTCTGATGTTCAGAATATGTTAAAATTAATATGTGAGAAGAGCAGTGCACTGGCACAATTACTGCTATTGCCTGCTGTTGTTGGTGTGGCAGAGGGAACAACCAAAAAGCATGGCTGGAGCTCCGGGCAAAAGTGTGGATTCGCTCATGTGGATTTATAGATACAGACATGTTCACTCAGACAGAGGAAGACAATGATATGAATGTACACACACACCCTGAAATCAAAAAAGGAATTATTTAATTAGAGGCACAATATGGCTTCTGCTGACATCATTCCTGCTGTGCAGGCAGAGCTACGTAACAGGAAACTGGCCTCTACTTCATATAATCTGAACGATTACCTAATCTTGGACATACAGTATGCTTAGATTATACTGGCAACACACTTGAAACGATTACCTAATCTTGGACATATGCTTAGATTATACTGGCAACACACTTGCCAGTTTGATCTTTCCATTGTGCACATAAAATATACAACTTCTCAATGTACCCATTTTCATTCCACTTTTGTTGGGACAAACGTTGTGCCCCAAATGAATGTGGGTTGTTCTGAACTAGACCAGTGGTTATGATGTTTTGCATTTTATTGCACTCCACTGCCACCTCCGTGAAAAATGCTGCTCTAGGAAAGAGGTCCCTACCGATCCACTCCCTGCTCCAGCTTTGCCTCTGGAGCACATTTAAAAGAATCCTGGAACAAACAACCCCACCATCTCAAGAAAACAAATAAAGCATAGAAAAGAAATCAAGAGGCACTGAAAAGCCACTAGATGTGTTTCCTGGAGCTTTGCTATATCTGAGCAAATGCTAAGCTTAGGTTTTCCTCTGAAGGGGGGAAAATCCCCTGATCCTTATAATATGAAATCATCATTGAGGGTAAAATGGCAATGCAGAGCTTAGAAGGAAATTTAGACACGCTTCAGAAATATTTGATGGCACTGATGTCGCTGTAAAGCTTATAGCCAGATAGCTGTCAGATTAATTCAAATCCAAAGATAAAATTTAGCCCTTTCTCCCACCCTGCCTTGCTCCCGCTTCTTGATCTGCAGGGTTCCTTTACAGTTACCATAAAATAATGTGATGACAGGAGAATCCAGAACTGGAACCATTCCATGGTCAAGGGTCTAGCCAATTTGCTTTTCCACTTCCTTTCTACCAAGAGAGCACAGATGACTGTTGTTTTTGGAGGTGTGTGGTTTGCCCCAACTTTTCCTTCGTTCCCAGAAACTGGACGGCAGGTTATGCTCTTTCCTGAACAAGTGAATACTGTATTCCAAATCAACATCCCCGCATGGTCAGTCATTGTCAGAGAGATTTCATTGCTGTAGGAGTATACTGTGTAGATGGTATAAATCATGTTGAAATATTAATTAAGTAATTAATGGTTGTGGAGAGTAGCTGGCAAGTCAAAATGAACATGCAGTCTATGTTACGTCAAGTGTTCTCAAATTAGCACTGATTCATAGGGGTTTTCAATGTACGTAAGTGAGAATTCAAGGTCTGTTTTTGCCACTTCACCT